TAGCACCACTGATCAATAACTGGAACAGCCTGCAGCCATAATTCGCTGTCGGTGTAGACTTTCCGCGTGTTATGAGTAGCACTTATTAGCTTCGAATATTGCATCACATATTACGTGATTCTATCATTTCACGGTCACTACGCTCTATTGCTACTGAGTGGCCGACGTATGTCAGCCGAGTGTTCTTGCAAAGAGCCAGTTGCTTGAGATAGTAAATCCAGGTACCCCAGGTGCGAGACAGGTGAGTGCGTGAAAAAAATGTTCATTATTAAGCAACACAGGCTCTTAGACACACGTTGCGATATGCGACAAACACACAAGCCGCCACGGAAAGATTGGGCTTCGATCTCATCATCTCCTCAATCGCTAGCCACGCTTCGCTTGTTGGTGGGCAATTCAGCCAGGCCAGAAAGAAAAAAACGCCTGTGTACTCAACACTAGCACTATTCAACTGTCCTAGGACGTCTATTGTAAGTAAAGTTGCTAAGCGCATACTAGGTCATAATCTTTCATTTGAGAACTCGCGAATTGACAGCTATGTGTTAGTATAGGACCACACGTGCACCTGCGCAGTGGCATTGTTCTTGTCCATCCATCCGTTCATCCAACTGTTCATCCATCTGTCTGCCTGTCTGTCTGTCTGTCTGTCTGTCTGTCTGTCTGTCTGTCTGTCTGTCTGTATGTATGTATGTATGTATGTATGTATGTATGTATGTATGTATGTATGTATGTATGTATGTCCCTCCGTACGTCTGTCTGTCTGCCTGTCTGTTCATCTGTCCGTCCGTCCGCACCTGCCGAGTTAGTCCTAGAACTAGATGGTAACGTACTAATAGAGACATGCATGTACAGACCCACGGCTTAAAGAGCTTCGCCCCTAAAAGGAGAAGACCACACCAACGTCAAGAAAGGCAAGTACTAATCCTTCAGCTGTTTGTTTCATGCCCTTCACATCCATCCTATGCATGCGCAAAAACACAACTCATCCTGCAAGTGCTCTCATTCTGAGGTACGTCTTTTGTTTCCCCATCAGTGAAATTGATGGCAAAATGACTAACAAGTTATTCATATTTGGTATCGCTTCAAATTCGTGCATTCCACGTGTCAGATTATTCTGAGGCCGGCCGATAACAGTGCAGCTGTACAGATCAAGGAAACACCGACATCGTTTGCCGTGCACTGCCAGGAACCCTTCCATGGAAAGTTTATTTTTTGCGTCGCAGTCGTATTTCTCTAATGTATATTAAAGACACTGCTTCGTCTGCCTCTCTGCTCTATATACTACTTCGTGCATGACAACAAAGACTTGTAGGAAACGCAGCACTCACAATCTACATCTCTCACCTGGTGTCTCTTATCACAGACTAAGTGAATGACATTATTCAGGCAAGTCAACTTGCAAAACTCCCCTAGTTTTTGAAGGGCCGAAAACACTATTGCGCGTACGTCAGCCCTCTTGGCTACTTTCTTCAAGTTATGGTCAATAGTGTGCATATACGGGATCACTCCTCCTATGCTGCCTTTGTTTTGTGCAGTTTTGTGCAGCATGATTTCTTTTTTATAAAAAAACCTAATTAAAAACAAGAACACAACACTAAACAACGCGAAAGAATAAATTACGCCTGAGTGTCTTTCACTTTCAAAACAGCTGTGATCAAAATTGCGCGTTTTCTCATTGTAACGTGTACCCAAAAAGTCAGTTCTGATTGACGAATCTCGCGTCTGTTTAAGCCAAACTGATCCGGATCACGTAAACCGGTGATGAATAAACAATCGTAACCAAAGCCCCAATGACTTTGTTTCACTTGAGTCCTAGTCATCTCCTATCATACATTCGTTCCAGGATTAGTTCGTCTTGGGTGAGAGCCTACTTGCTGAAACACACGGCGTTCCAGAGCAAATCTCGAGAGCAAGAGGTCTAGTGATGTGCTTCTTTCTACCCTTCAGAGATACTGGCCATTTATTCCTCCGTAAAGTCTTTCTGTTTCTTCCTAGAAAGCCGCATTTTCCACATTTTAATGGACCACAAGTCGCTGGCATATGCGTTCAAGAACAACAGTTCCTCATATTCGGAAAGAGAAGTGCGCCAACTTTCTTTCATTTCCGAATTTTCCATGGACATCCACCACATAGCGGGGAGCGAAAACCAAGCAGCCGACGCACTCTCCCGTATCGACACCGTTTCAGCGTCCGTCGACTTTGAGACATTAGCCGCCGCCCAGCGGGAAGACCCAGAGCTAACCGAGATGAGGCAAAATCTGCTGTCACTGGTGCTCGAAGAGATCCCGCTACCATACACAGCGGCCATGGTCACATGCGACACATCGCAGAAATCTCCAAGACCCTTCGTCCCCGTCCAGTTTCGGCGTGCAGTGTTTGACAGCCTTCACAACCTCAGCCACCCAGGAATCCGCGCGACGCAGAGGCTCGTCACTGACCGCTTTGTGTGGCCCTGAATTAATGCCGACGTTTGACTCTGGGCGAAGACGTGCCGAGCATGTCAAGCGGTAAAGGTGACTCGTCACACGCACACAGCACTCCAAGCATTTCGGCCACCAGAGTGTCATTTCGGCCACGTGCACTTGGACTAGGTGGGACCTCTTCCTCCATCCCAGGGTTACAGATACCTGCTCACTTGTCTAGACCCCTACTCACGGTGGCCCGAGGCGACACCAATTCTGAGCATCGCAGCCGGGACCATCGCACAGGCGTTTGTGGCCACATGGGTTTCACGCTATGGCTGCCCACTGCGCATAACGACCGATCGTGGACGACAATTCCAGAGCAACCTATTCTTTGCGCTGGCGAGGCTTCTGAGGACACGGCTCCAGTACACCACGGCTTACCATCCAGCGAGCAATAGAATGGTGGAGCGCCTACACCGTCAACTGAGGGCATCTTTAACGGCCAAATTGGATAGAGAGCACTGGGTGGAGAAGCTCCCTCTCGTTCTTCTGGGCCTGCGTACGGCGATAAAAGGAGACCTCGGATTCTGTGCAGCAGAAATGCTGTACGGCTCTACAATCCGACTACCGGGAGAATTCATCGGTGAGAAACCAAGCGCTACGCCGACGCCTTCAGAACATATCGAAAGGCTAAATTCCTGGTTGGAGCACCTGCAACCCAGCGCGCCACGCGTCAGCTGCTACCAAAGAATATTTTCTTTCCCAGACATGAATGAGGCAACCCATGTGTTCATGTGACGTGACACAGTTAAAGCGCCGTTGACTCCGGCGTACGACGGGCCCTTCCGTGTGCTTTCGCGGTTGCACAAAACTGTGACCATTCGTGTTCGCGACAGAGAGGACGTCGTTTCTCTCGATCGCGTGAGACCAGCTCACCTCATGGACTAACTCGCACATTTCCTCGTTTTTTTTTCAGGCTCCGCGGTCTAGGGGGGGGAGGGGGGGACCCCTTGTAGTGGGCGATGACGCCGGTGATCGCGATAATTTTATTTGTGTGCGCATACCAATTCGTATGCCGAGGTACACGGCGCAGACGCGGCCAACATGCCTCACGTTATCTCCGGAGGGCCGCGGAAGATACGCAGCCATGCCCATTTTGGTTGTCGCTTTCGAAGCCTGTTTTTCTCGGAAAATAAACAAGTCTTGTCCCAAACTTCAAGGAGTGTAGGTGCCTTCTTTTGGCGCCTTTGTTAGACGAGTACGCTACAACAGCAATAAACGAAGCCGCAAGTGCGATTTGCCGCCTGCAAGTATGAAAGCTAGGCAAATGTGTGTATTGCCCATCATTCCCATGGTCGCTGAACGATAGCAGCGACAGAGTCCCTTCTAGTAAACTTTAGGAACCTATATGGCCTGAAGGTAATATATGGCCTTCAGGCCATATAATAACTTCAGCTATATGACCTGAAGTTAATAGATGAACAACAACAAGCTTGTGTAAAAGGTTGGATCACTGGACCACCCACTTTTTGCGCAGTTCGCAATGTGTGACGTCTGTTTGTTCCCTTCAAGTTCTAAAACAATTTATTAGCGCGATTCCTTTCCCGACATCTAGCCTGCGTAAGGCCAGTTTTGAAATGAGTTCCAAGCGCTGGAGACGCTCACTGGTAAAATACTGGGCTGGCACGCAGCGGACACGGGCTCTAATCCCATTGTGCCCTTGGTATTTTTTTCTTTACTGAGCTTTTTCTTACAATTTTTCGCGATATCGGTTACGGACACCGGTGGCAAACAACAACGGTACAGCCCATGACCTATGGTCTGATCTCACAACTTTCATTGTCGAAACTTTGAAGTGGGCTTCTCTACAGATGCCTTAGGGACGACGTGTATGACTCCATGCTTACAGTGTGATGTGCTTACACTCCATATGTTGACCATGGCCGCAAATAAACAATTCGGATTTGGGACTCTCTCTATCTTTTACCTGTTCCCATTATCTGATCCACCAACAGCGACTTTTTAAGCAGTCTCACATACCAACTAGCGCATTAACAAGGTCTTAGACAATAGTCTTTAAAGTTCCCCACAACAGAAGCTACGGAATTAAAATATAAATGCAACGCCATGGGCGCGAACTGCAGCGAGGCAAACCTCAGAACAGTTGTTCTTGAAAAGACTAAAGAAATAGGCCAATGCCCCGGGCACCATTGTATTCCCAATGTCTGACTGGTCAATTTCAAGTTTTTTTTCCTCTTAGTTTCAGTGCATTCTAATCGTGCGCACTTCGGTAACAGCCCACATATAACAGCTGTAGCTAACACGAATACACTTTCTTTGTCACGATACAAAGTTTCTCGGCATTCGCGAAATTGGCATCGCTTCCCATGCTACGTATTCGCACTCGGTTGCACCGCTTATGACATTGCTCGAAAGAAGAATGCCTCCTCTGGTATCATTATTCAGTCAAACAGCAGCAAAGGTTACGCAGAGGTTGCTTCTTGCACAATACCTATTGCATCTCATGCTTTTGCAAATTCGGCTGCACGAATGAAATCTGTAGCACTGTCATCATGCTATAGATGATAGGCTACACAGTGTGAAGGGGGCAATTGTCTACGAAAGACTCACTGCATCAGCACGTGGAGCACACGAGTTTGCTTTATTAGCCTAATACCACGCCTGCGACAGAAGTACCTTCTTATAAACTGTGCAAGACGTGCGTTATTACTGTTCTTCTTAATCGTTCTGCTCTTGAAAGACCGTTACGAAGTCAACCATGCATGCATCTTCTGTGATCGGAGCTATGTTTTTTGTTTCAATCTCGATAGTTCCCGTTTTGAACTACCAAGTCTCGGATCATTGGTTCTCCGAAGATTATTCCCCAGATTTAGGGCTCACGGATCTCGAAGATGAACAAACCAGGAGTTCCAGTTGGCTGCCCACCGATAAACGAACCGTAAGTGACCGAACCGGCGACAACCACATACAGGACCATCGTGGAAGCACTCCTTCTGCACTTCATTTTCCTTTCCATGCTGTATTTATAACGCACCTTTATTACGAATCGGAGTTCCTGCCAAGCGCCGGTAGACTTGAAGCGCTCCCCCAAGTGTGGGCGTGATTCTTTCACCTCTTCCTTCTATCCGTTCGCCCAGTCCAGGGTAACAGACCGGACGTGTGTTTCGTTAAACGGCCTCTCTTAGCTCCGCCGTTTTCCTCTTATTACCGCCTCGTACGTGCCGGGCTTTCACTGTTAGACAGATATTCTTATGATGTGAAACCTAGTTTATTGGGAACTAGAGTAACGATTGTATTATTTACCGTTCGCGGAACAGTGGTCGGGGTGAGATAAAAGTTCTTTTTTTAACAGCTCAAGAGAAAACCTAGTTTTCCATATTGTGTAGCAGTTGATAGCACTTTTTGTGGTGTCCATCTTTTAACATACTTGGAAAATGATCCCACCATAGTGGGGCAGGAGACTCACTATGTTGTGCAAACTCTTTTTTTTATTTCTAGCAAAGAAACTGTTTGACTTGCACTGATGTGGTTTTATATGTATTCTACGCCAGATGAAAGGATTAGGTGTTTCCTGCAGAAGTACCATTGAATGTTACCCAGGACTGTGCTGCATACGAGACGGTCACATCGACACTTGCCAGATGTCGTCAATGTATGGTGAAAAGTGCTCGCTAGGACAAATCAAAGGAGGTATATACCACAAGCATGGTCCCTGTTACTACGGAGATGGTAAGCATACAATCCTAACTGTTTGTCACTTAGCATGTTTCGATTGTTTTACTGAGATCACGCAGTTCTTCCCCTCGTGAAATACGATAGAAAAGTGTGGTTCATTTGTGTAAACAAACGACCTTTTTTTCAAGTGTCTCATCTTTCAGCGAAAGAATGTTCCCCGAAGAATCAAAATGCGATGGTGCTCTCATGGCGAAAATCCCTAAACAACGACAAGAGCTTCATCGTTATCCCCAAAGCATTTTACACCATTTTATACTATCACTACTAACGAATGCCCAAAACTTGTATAGTAACGATAGAACACAATTGAGAGGCCAAGAACCAGGCAACAGGTGATAAGACAAAAACCGTTATTCGTAGCATTAGCAGACGGATACATTGCAGAGTGGAGCAGAGAACAAACAAGCATAAGTAACTTTCCCGCTGGTATTACGAAAAAAATGAACCTGGTAGGACCGTGTTCTGAGAGGAACTGAGAACCATTGCTCAGTTAGAACTACGGAGTGGGAATCGGAGACGTAACTGAGTTCGTAAAGCCTCTCAGTAAATTTCCTTTCATTGACACGATTCCTCAGCAAGAGAGAGAGAGAGAGAAATGATAACGACAAGGGCGGGAGGCGAGAAGGTGAACCAGGGCTGAGCCCTGGTGGCTACCCTACATTAGGGAAAGGGTAAATAAAGGCATAGAGGAGGAAAAAAAAGTCACTGACTGGGCCGACGCGTAACAGTGTCACGTTTCACACCACAAATGATAGAAAAATACCAGTGTCGTGAGGGAAACGCAACAGCGCTTTTGTTGCCTTTCGGAACGGCGATAGGCAAAGCCATGGTTTTAATACTTTCCCGACAGTGAAATCACTTCTGTCCAGTTGATTTAGAACAATGTGGAGGGCGTAACAATATATGGGGTTTAATGTCCCAAAACCATCATATGAATATGAGAGACGCCGTAGTGGAGGGCTCCGGAAATTTTGACCACCTGGGGTTCTTTAACGTGCACCCAAATCTGAGCACACGGGCCAGCAGCGGTTTCACTTTTATCGAAAATGCAGCCGCCACAGAATACCGGGGTGAAGCTTCTCGTTTGTGCATTTTGGGCTGTAACAAAAAAAGAGGTTCAATAGTCTCATTGACACCGCCATTCTAAGGAATGCCTTGTGTTCAATATATCTTATAACATGAACTCATGAACGACTGATTGTCTAAACGAGAAAAATCTGCGTGAACATGTTAGCAACATGCATATAATGCATCGCTTTATACTTCGCCGATCTTATTTCCATGAAGCGACACTCTGATAAAACGAACTAAATAATACCAGACTTCGTGGCCTTTGACGTTCAATATTGTCCCACTTTTGACCAAATCCCATTCTTCAGATAATCTGACAGCAGCCACACACCGTCAAGTTGCCAGTGTTACTGCACTTACGGTTGGAAATTCCTCTATCAGGAATTAGACTTATTATTTCGGCAAGCAGACTTATCGTTGTGAAAGCAGCAAATGTCGCCTTAAGTAGCTGTCTGCTTACTGAAACGTTGGCTTTAACTACACGAGAATTTCTCACATGTTCAAGCTGCCTTCATCTCATAAACTTTTGCGCCTACTGTTACAATTTGCGCCTACTGTTACAATTTACCTTTTAAAACCGTGTGCTCACAGTATCAACTTACACTTTTGTCTCATGCAGAATACTGTATAGATGGAACATGCTTCGCATAACAACGCGCCTTCTTGGTAACACGAGGTAAGTACCTGCTGCAGTTCGCGCATTGAAATTATTTGAATATATTGTGTAGTTAGCATTAGGTCACATTGTACTCTCTTAGCGGGACAACAGAAAGGACAGAGCCTGAAACACTCCAATTGAAATTATATGTTCAATTCAATTGATAATGTTCAACTATTGCGAAGGGCACAGGTTTTACGACCTGCTTCAAATGGCCCTTACTGATAGTGCTGCATGTGGCCACGTCTGGCACAAGCAGCACTACCAGAAAGGATGTGAAACTCTGTGCCCTTCGCAATAGTTAAAATTGAAATTGTCAATTCAATTGAACAGATAATTTCGAATTCGAGTGTTTTGGCACACTCGAATTCAACCACCATGCCTGCATATATATATATATATATATATATATATATTATATATATATATATATATTATATATATATATATATATATATATATATATATATATATATATATATATATATATATATATATATATATATATATATATATAGGCAGGCATGGTGGTTGAGTGGCCGTAGCGTTGCATATAGTCAAGTAGATGCTCCATGAGTGGTCACAACGTGGTTTATTTCGACGTTTCTGCCTAAAGTCTGGCCTTCATCGGGATTAAAGGTACAGTTTGTTGGTGCTCAGCTTTATACAATCTGAAATCAGAGGGAAAAAGGAAAAAAGACAGAAAAAAGAAAAAAAGAAGAACAGAAAAAGAAGAGAAAAAAGAGAAAAAGAAACAAAAAGAAAAAGAATATAAGGTGGTCTTCCCCGGGCGCCCCCCTTACACTCTTCCTTCCACTTCACCCTTCATTTCTCTCCCCTTTCTCCCCTTCACCTTTTTGATGTCAGCGGTCCGTGTAGTCTTCCTTTCACTAACGTATTCTTCCCGACCAGACGCTCCTGGCTCTGGCGGTTCGGTGTGGGGCAAAAAAAAGCTTTTTTAGGAAGTTTTAAGCCTTTAACTACTCGGCGCCCCGTCAACATTTTGTCGTAGAACGAGGGGTGCCGCGTATTGCGGCAGAGGCTGGTAAGCGGGCTTTTTAGGAAGTTTTAAGCCTTCAACTACTCGGAGCCCCGTTAACATTCCGTGGCAGAAAGAGGAGTGCCGCGTATTGCGGCAGAGGCTGGTGAGCGGGCGCAATGTGAATTCCTTGCCCGCTTCTGGATTACGCGTGCAGTAGGGGCCTCCCGGCTGTGCACAGGGTTGCTGTTGGGCATGTCATGCATGACACAATTGATTGGGTAGTAAAATAAAACAGAAAACAGACAACAGCTGTACTTAGGAAGAGTAGTTACACTTGGAATTGTTTTGAGTTGTCCAGTGCCCTTCGCAGTCGCAGTGCCGTGAACTCAGTTACTATTTTCATTATTGCCGTTATTGCTTTCTAATACTTTATTGCTGCAAGTGTGCCAGGATTCTCATTTATTCCTCTATCGAGGGTGTTAAATCGGTGGATAAGGTATGACTCTCGTTGTTCACGTTCTCGGTTTGATTTAAATCCGTCTCTAAGAGCGTTACTAATAGTTTGTCGAATGTATGATCGGGAAGATTAACATGTTTTGATAGGGTTAGATTTGGGGCTGATTTCGCATGGGCTCTGTGATTATTGAAGCGAATTCTAATTGGTGTTTCTGTTTGTTCTATGTACTGCATACTACACACGTTGCATTCGAGTACGTATACCACATTAGAGGAATCGCATGTTAGGTTTCCTCGTATGTTAATCGAAAACTTGGATTGTGTGCTGGTTGATTTGTGTGTTTCTCGCATTTGTAGTAAGGCGCATCGCCTTACATAAAAATGCGAAATGTGCAATTACAAGTTAGGAAATGTGCTCCACCCCATTCTTATTCTTCTAGTTACTACAATCTCGTGATTTGGCTCCGCGGTGATTACCTGCCCTAAGTAGACATAGTCTTTTACAACTTGAAGTGCACTATTACCTGTCTCGAAGCGCTGCTCTTTTCCGAGGTTGTTGTACGTTACTTTCGTTTTCTGCAGATTCATTTTAAGACCGACCTTTCTGCTCCCCTTGTCTAACTCCGTAATCATGAGTTGCAATTCATCCCCTAAGTTACTCAGCAATGCAATGTCATTGGCGAAGCGCAGGTTACTAAGGTACTCTCCATTAACTCTTATCCCAAACTGTTCCCATTCTAGGCTTCTGAAAACCTGCTGTAAGCACGCGGTAAATAGCATTGGGGAGATTGTGTCCCCTTGCCTTACACCCTTCTTGATTGGTATTATGTTGCTTTCTTTAAGAAGCACTATGGTAGCAGTTGATCCCCTTTAGATTTCTTCCAGGATGTTTATATATACTTCATCGACGCCCTGATTCCGCAGTGTCTGCATCACGGCTGATGTTTCTACTGAACCAAACGCCTACTCGTAATCTATGAAGGCTATGTATAGTGGTTGGTTGTATTCTGAGCCTTTCTCTATTACCTTATTGATAGTATGAATGTGGTCGATTGTTGTGTTAGAGGCTTAAAACTTCCTAAAAAAAGCTCTTTTTTGCCCCACACCGAACCGCCAGAGCCAGGAGGCGCCGTCTGGTCAGGAAAAATGCGTTAGTGAAAGGAAGCATACACAGACCGCTGACATCAGTAAGGTGAAAGGGAGAAAGGGGAGAGAGATGAAGGGGAAGTGGAAGGAAGAGTGGAAGGGGGGTGCCCGTGGGGAGTCCACCTTATCTTCTTTTCTCTTTTTTTCTTTTTCCTTTTTCTCTGCTTTTCCTTTTCTTCTTTTTTTTCTTTTTTCTGTCTTTTTTCCTTTTTACCTCTGATTTGAGACTGTATAAAGCTGAGCACCAACAAACTGTACCTTTAATCCTCATGAAGTCCAGAGTCTACGCCGAAACGTTAAAATAAACCACGTTGTGAACGCTTACTGAGGATCTACTTGACTATATATATATATATATATATATATATATATATATATATATATATATATATATATATATATATATATATATATATATATATATATAGTGGGAGTAATAATTTAATGGGCCAGTTAGTCTTTGTGAAGGTATGGGATATGGCACAACGGGAGCGTTGTCATATTTATTTCCCAACAGATTCGGGAGGGGTCCTCCCTTCATCAGGGGATGAGTTATCCCCTTCATCGGGGATAACTCATCCCCTGATGAAGGGAGGACCCCTCCCGAATCTGTTGGGAAATAAATATATTTATCCCTGTTGACAACGGTCCCGTTGTGCCATACCTATATATATATATATATATATATATATATATATATATATATATATATATATATATATATATTTACTTACATATATATATCTATATATATATATATATATGAAATTATATATATATATATATATATGTAGGCAGGCATGGTGAATGAGTGGCCGTAGCGTTGCATATAGTCCAGTAGATCCTTTGTGAGCGGTCACAACGTGGTTCATTTCGACGTTTCGGCCTAGAGTCTGGCCTTCATCGGGATCCTGATGAAGGCCAGGCTCTAGGCCGAAACGTCGAAATAAATCACGTTGTGACCGCTCACGGAGGATCTACTGGACTATATATATATACATATATATATATATATATATATATATATATATATATATATATATATATATATATATATATATATATATATATGAGTTGGCAGCACTGTACTTCTGCATTTATTAATAAGTGGTAAATTTATTTTCAGATGCCGTCCAGACTATATTGTCTTCAACAGCTGAATGATAGCCATCTTTTCTAAAAGAAATCCCGGAAAAAAGCAGTTGCAGCAAATTTTTACCTAATCACACTTACATGACATGTTTTTATAGACCTCCCCAAGTCCACCATTTCAGTCATTTCTCATTCATCCTCTTTTACATTAAATCCCTTATGTACGCTTTCTACGTGTACCCATAAGGACACCAGCTTCATTATTCTCCATCTTCATTAAACACACTATGTGATGACTGCAAACCACCTCTATGCCTTCACCGCTCCAGTGGTTCGTATAGTTTCGAAATTTCCAGAGCCCTCCACTACGGCGTCTCTCATAATCACGTGGTGGTTTTGGCACGCTAAACCCCACATTTAATCATCATCATCATCATCATGGTTCGTATAGTTGGCCATTCGCTACGGGCCTTACCAGGCGAAGATTTTACCGTATTATCCCCATGAGCACAGTCGTTTTCAAACTTTTAAGCTATCCAGTAAATACGTCGTCTTCTCTAGCATGAACGCTTGCTTCGGAGTGTCCTAACTCGGATGCAGGCAGCTAAAGCCACGTATTGAAATGTTATTATTAATATTTGTGGTTAACGTCCAAAAACTGCTGTACGATTGTGAGACGCCGTAGGGGAGGGCTCCGTAACTTTTGACCATCTGGTGCTCTTTAACGTCCACTGACTTCGCACAGTAAACGAGCCTCTACCATCGCCTCCATCGAAATGTGACTGCCACCGCCGAGATCGAACCCACGGCTGAGTCAGCAGCCTAATTGCAGTGCCACTATGGCTGACTTCGCATGGGAGCGTTGTGTCCTTTGAATTATCATACATACTCTTGTGATATCAGCATGTTTCTAAATCTTGATGCATAATGTCACACTTATGCATTGGAACCTTCCACTGAACACCAATCGACGCCCACAAAACCTCGGTTGTTACTACAATTACAGCAGCCACCAAAGACTTCGTGACGTGACGCTACAATGCTGTGTCGGTTGTGGGTCGGTGTATACCCTTTACGAATTCACTCAACTATCACGCTGGACTGGCAGACTCCTCTTAGTGTGATAACTGCGATTGCATACAAACTGTCCACAATGTCCTGTATCACTGTTCTTATTCCAGCAAGATCCGAACTCTCCAGAGTGCCTTAACAACCGACTCTTTACTCCGGAGATCTTGAATGCGTGGCCTTGCAATACGTCAGTCGAGAAATCCACACAGGCCCTTCTACAAATATTGAGGGCGACATCACTGAGCGACCACCTGTACTGTGAGTACGGTGT